AACCAAACTACCAAATTTCAGTCCAAAAGAAAACATCCTAAATTCATCGGGAAAACCTAAGCCCCGACTCATTCAAAATTTTAAAAATATCTATATAATTAATGTAAAAAATTCCACGTAAATTTTTCTCCAAAAATATTTTTTATACCGACTCAGTTCCAACCTAGTGCTCTGACTCCGTCCTGTCGGATTTGGTGTAAAAACTTATCAGATTTCGTTATGACAGTAGACAATTGGAACATACGTGTATTCAACTATGTATATCCCAGATTTTTACATAAAGATTTTTATGTTAAATTTAAAGTTTTGGCAATACTATTAAATGACGTGATGATCCAAATTAAATATTTTTGGTGGGGAAGTTAGTGAGTGGGGGAGGGGGTTCTGATCCTGGGTGGGAAATGGTCGATCAAGGAGACTCTCTAGAGTGATATTGGCCAAAAGTCTCCTTTACAATTGACCAGCAAGTACCTAATAATCATAGGGGAAGGAAGATTTGGCAAGTTGTAGTTGACTGACGTGGACAACAATCACTAAATAAACTGGGAAAAGATCAAATTTTTTTGTTTTTTTTTACTAGGTAAGTGGAACAGTACTTTTGACATGACATGTAGAATTCCAGCTGTCTATGTTGAGGATCCAATGCCATCGTGGTGCTTAGTTGGGTGTACCAGTGTTTCAATAATCTTGCAAATGTAGTGTTCCGTCACTTATAAATTTGTCATTTTCTTTTATTTTTTGAGCAACTCTGTTTGTACACGTTTAAGAGTTTACACGTTTGCACATTTATATGTGCAGACATTTTTTTTGTCTGTGTAAACATTGTTCAAAGAGAAAATATATTTTGTCTGTATAGACAAAAAATATTTGCACATGCAAATGTAAAAACTTGTAAGCTTTTAAAACGTGTATAAGCAGTTTTTTTGTTATTTTTTTGATATCCCAAAAATTTGTCAATTTTCCATTTAATTAATGAATTTGTGACTCCTGTTATACTGATCAAACACGACAAAGTATTGAGGGACGGAGGGGTACTTCAGTTCAAAGATCATTACAAAATGAAACTATTATGTGAATGCTCCCCCGTTCCATTTTATTTGGGAGATAGAGTGTGTTGTGTGTGTATTTCTTAATTGAGAAAGTACATATTCAATTAGTAAAGTAACTCATTTTAGCGTTCTTGGTTCTAAGTATCTGAATTACGATTGACGGTATCAAAGGCTTTAGAGTGTTGAATTGGAGTATGATATGGTATCCTCATAGTTGAGGATTTATAGACTATAGTTATGTGTTGTTTGCGTGTTGAATCCTGATGGACCAACGAAAGAAACGTGGGATTCGTACTCTAACTCGATTTGTTGAATTGTCTTCCGAGAAACTTTCCGTCTATTCGTTTTTTTCTCCAAAAAATAGAAGCACGTTTTGTTTTTATGTTTGTCCGCATGTCAACTATTCAATACATAACTTTTTATTTCACGCATAAAATTATGTAATGATAAAAATAAGTAAGGTTGAATATTTTTCTGGATGGATTGGTGATGTTATTCTAGATGACTATTTTGATTATTTTTTATATTTTTTATGTTATTAACAAAATATATTTTCAATATAATTTTTTCTTAATTCAACAGAGTCACCCAATCCAGCTATTTTAACCATGAATTCATAAGTTTTAATAGATCAGTCAATTCAACCAATTTCAGTTTTATTGAACGGGCTCTAAATATCAAATGTGGAATAGCTTCTGTTGTACTTTGGTATATGACATAATTACGCATGTATGATTAAAATAAATATTGGGCCGGTTCGAAGATCTTAATTATGGAATCCATTGGTCCGGTTGGCTGGTGAAACACTAATCTCGGGCTTGGACTCACAGGTCCAAACTTTGAAACTTTGGGCCTACTCCCATCACTCTTTTAGTGGCAGTTGAGGTTGTGGTCTTGGCAACAAATGAATGAAATTATGGTCTGTCAACAATTAAGTTGGATGGAATATGATGTGGTAACCATTTAACATTTAAAATGCTATGGTGATACCTTATTATTTCCAATCACTTGGTGGGATTAAATCCAAAAGTAAATCTACAACAGTATTGCAGAAGACTAGATGCAATTGGACAAGTTGGAGGAAATGTGGATATCTCATATTCCATTATCATCTCTCTTAGTAATCAAATCATGCTAAAGAAGTTGGGTGATTCAAACAAGGACTTTGAGTTTGATTTGATTTGATTTTGCAGCCTTCTATGGGAGGAATCTAGCAAAAATTAGACAATAAAATCTCAAAGTGCCACACAACATGAAAACATCCATGGCCACATAAATTACTGTCCCCCACTCACAGCTAGGTTACTTCACAACTTCGCAAAGTCTAAATATCAAATAATTAAAATTGGTTAATTGGTGGGCTTTCACATTCAAATTTGATGCTTTGTAGCCTTATATGCACACCACATCCCTATATAGGATAATAATAATAATAACGATGCCTCCATATTATTGCGCCTTTACGATAAAACTCAACCCTCTGATTTTTGCTTTTTATTTTCATTTTTAATTATCACGAAATATTTTGTCTGGTGTTTGAAGGGAAGACATTAATTAGAAATAATGACAATTTACGATTAAAATAAAGATTGTTTATAAAAATGTGATTGATGACTAGAATAATAATAATAATGTAATCATAGTAACTTATGTGCAATTGTTAAACTTAAATTACCATGAGATTACAATGTAGTAACTATTAATCATATTAATCATATTTGTGTAAATGAATTTTAATTTAGTAAACAAATTAACACGATGCATGTAAAATCATTTTTAATGAGCACAATAAAAGCTAAAATGGACTATTAGATTATTATATCGTTAATTATCATGAAATTAACAAAACTTTTCTATTCTCTAACTTTAATTAAAAGAAGCTCAAACATAACCTTTTATAACAATTGCTATTTCCCGTTGTAATTTTCAAAACTTCAAATTTATATCAATCTCAATACTTTTCATATACTTAAATCGATTTCTTTTAATTTTTTAATTAATTTAATTCTTTTTTTTCATGAATCAGCAAGAACTTTAAATATTATTATAAGGGATTAGATCACAAATAATACTAATTACAATGATTTGGACAAAAATAAAGCTTCCAGTATTACTTTCCTAAAAAGAGACCAGATGGTGGTCTTACCTAATAAGTTGGGAAGGAAATACCATATATGCCCTCCTAGTCAACATATTGCACGTATCCGATTCCTCCCAGCCATATCCCAGATTCTGCATATGCTAGCAAAGTAGCAAGGACCAATGAAATATAATTCTTTTACTTTTATAACCTTCACTTTACAATTATTTGATTACGATTTATATTTAATTGATTCCACCAGTTACACAGCCGAGAAGTTATATAAGTTACGTGGGACCAGTTACAGTTATTCGACTCGTCGTCCAGTTACAGTGATCTGATTCGTCCAGTTACAATTACCTAACCCGTCCAGTTACAGTTATCTGACTCATCCAGTTACAATTATCCGACCCGTCCAGTTACAGTTACCCAACCCGTCCAGTTACACTTATCCGATCCATCCAGTTACACTTATCCGACCCGTCTAGTTACACTTATCCGACCCCGTCCAGTTACACTTATCCAACACATCCAGTTATATTTACCCGACCCGTCCAATTACAGTTACCCGACCCGTCCATTTACAGTTACCCGATCTTCCAGTTATGGTTACCACCGTCCACCACCACAACCACTTCCGGCCACCACTGGTGACCGGCCACCCCTGGTGACCACCGCCCCATCCTGCCTCGATTCCCCACCCCCCTCCCTTCCCAATCTTCGGCACGCCACTGCCGCCCCGGCCGGTCAACCGGCGTTGCCAGTGATGACGCCGACCACCATAGTTACCGTCGCCCGCCATTGTAATCTTAGTAAGCGTCTCTCCCGGTGACCTTCCATCTCTCAGATCTGTTTTCGTCCGGTCAGATTTGGATACCTAGCCGCCTCTTCTGGTGAACTCCCATCTCTCAGATCTAATTTTGTCCGCCCAGATCTGGATATGTTGCCGCCCTCGTTTCTGATTTGAAGAAGGTGAAAGGCTCAAAGCAAATGAGTGATACAGTCCAACCGAGCCTTCATCTGAGCGAGGGAGTCCAACCATGAAGAAGAAGCCACGTGCGACGGACTTCCACGCGGAGTTGAGGAAGAAGACGACAGATTCGTCAAACTCGACGCCCCTTCGCGCTCAGTATCGCCCCGACCATTTGAGCTCAGCGGCACCTCCCTGTTGCCAGACGGAAATAGAAGAAACAAAAAGATGATTGGGGATGGCGCCGGTGGGAGAGATGAGCCACCGCCGCCAATGAGAAGATATGAGTTGCCGCCGCGGGTAAGAAGAGATGAGCTGCCGCCACCGGTGAGAAGAGATGAGATGCCGCCGCCGCCGGTGAGAAGAGATGAGCTGCCGCCGCCACCGGTGAGAAGAGATGAGCTACGCCGGTGAGAGGAGATGAGCTGCGCCGGTGAGAGGACATGAGCTACGTAGGTGGGAGGAGATGAGCTGTGTGGGTGGAAAGATAATAGATGAGCGGGGAGACGTTGCACAGTTATGGATCAAGGGTATTCCAGTCTGTCTGAATATGTTTAGTATCTTTTTTGTCTATTTTAAACTTGTTCTTATATTTGTCAACCTAAAAGTCCATAGTATTATTTAAGTCTTTATTTCTTATTATAATATACTACTACGTACTTCACAAGCCCCCCTACAAATCTTTCCTATTTCCGATTTCCTATTTTCTTTTTTTGGTTTGATATTATTATTTAATCTGGACTAATCTGGTTTAGTAGACATATATTTTATGTATATTTTACTATTGTCTAAGTATGGTCTTGTTTGATATGGTCTGAGACTAAAACTAGTCCAATTGAAAACATGTGAACTATGATTTTTTTTACACTTGAAGAACTCCGTGAGAAATTACACACGTAGATCATTAAATTAGGATTTTTGTTTTTGATCATCAAATCCAACTATTATATTAAAATCATTAGGCAAAGGATCGTTACAACAAACTAAAAAAGATCAACCCTGACAAAAACAATCCCTAACCAACAATCATAATCAACCCTACGGCTAGACTCTGAGACGATCACCCCTGAAAGAGCAATACAAATCGCTAACCACCAAGAGGGTGTGACACAACAATCATTGGCCATATAGATCCTTCTAATGACATATTATCTAGCAGAATTGACAATCATTATTGTAGACTTAAAACTAAAGTCCTCAACAAAAAACGAAACGCCGTAAACAAACATAAAACGAAAATAAGACCATAAAAAATAGAATAACTGACAAATATTCCAAACTTCTTTCTAACTGTTCTCTTGAAAATCATCTTCAAAACCCCGACTTCTCGATCAATCCAAGGCGGCGGTTCAGGAGGGGGACGAACTGCCGATCTGTATTCCTCCTTGATCAGCCCTTTGTCGCTCTGTGCACTGCTACGTCTCCTCGGTTCATCCGTCAAAACACCACAAAACTGCCGGTCCGAACCAGAAACTTCACTTGCCTCCTTTGTCGCCTCCCCTTCCGAATCCTCTATGTCGAAATTAAAAACGGATGGCCGAAAACCAGCCCCACTCCTCGGCTTAAGCCGGTAGCGGACAATCGAAACTAGCGGCAACCCTAGAAAGAGAAAATGAATCATCCCTTAGAAAAGATGAATTAGAAATAAGACTAGTTCATTAAATTAGGATTAAGAATGTTATTTGGTATGTTTTTTGTATTAAATTAACAAACATATGTTCTTAGGAACTACTGGGCTTTTGATTAAAAAAAAGGAACTACACAGCACGATCTAGTACTCAAATCCAATACATACATGGCCGGGTTTCCTCTAAAATCCTCTGCCCTTTTACCTATAATCTAAAAGCCTTTCAGGAGGACTAACAAATAGGTCCTCGAAGTTATATAAAAAGTGCAAATCATCCTTATATAAGAGACTCTGTTCGGCCGTCGTTATATGGGGTGGTTCCCGGGGGAATTTTTTGATTAATTTTTTTAGTATCTTATTCATTAAGTCTAGTTTTCTCATATCAAATTTCAGCTAAAAATTCAACTGGGAAGGAAGTCGAATGATTTTCTGAAATATACTGCGCCGTTTAACTGCGCAGTTATCTTCAAAAATTCATTTGAATGCCTTTCCGATTGAACTTTTAGTTCAAATTTAGTATGAGTAAACTAGACTTAATGAATAAGATGATAAAAAATCATCAAAAATTCCACCAGGAACCGCCCCAAATGGCGACGGCCGGACAGAGCCTCCAATATAGGAGGTGATTTGCACTTTTTATGTAAGTTCGAAAGCTTATTTGATAGTTTTGCCAAGCCTCTCTAAATATATATATGATAAAATGCTAAAGATTTTGTGTTGGTTTCAGTTGATATTCAACCTCATTACTTGTTCTTCCACCACTTCGGCATAATGTTTTTAGGAGGTGGTTGATGAAATTGCGATGTTCTATCATTTTTTTTCATGCTTGTATAGTGTTTCCCAAAAAAAATAAAGTTTCATTCACGTTTTTCTTCTTCTCATAGTTTATTTCTTATAAACCTAGTGATATTCCCCCTATCATTAAGGCTCACATTTCACTATTTTAGTTACGCTATTTAACATAGGCAATATTTTGAAATAGGATTAAGCTTGTTTTCTTTTTTAAAAGTAAAAAAATTATTTAGTCTTATTAAAAAACAACTAAAAGTTCTCAAAATAGGACTCCATGAGTCCTATTATAGGAAGAAAATAATAGTACTTCTATCTGAGAAAATATACAATTTTGAACTCATATTTAGGAACATTTTATATTAAGAAAATTATTGTACTTCTATTTGAAATAAATAGCAATTTTTTAATTTTTACGCATGTTTATGGATATTTTTCAAAAATTATAAGACACCCAGTTGTAATTTTGCCTTCAATATCACTTAATGTTATTGGATAGTTGCGGCTTATCTCGTTACTAAAAAGGGCTAATTTAATCGTAATTCTACTTTTTGCATGCTCTTTTTTTTTATTCATGACCATACTCATTTGAATATAAAACTTTTTTGTTTGTAATTATGCTCTTTTGAATCCGAAGAATACTCCTCTAATCATTTCGACGTACAATCATTAATGCATAATGAACATAATACATTCGGATCTATAGTGCATCTAGAGCTTATTATAACAAAGCGTCTCAAAACGGAGATATCGAAGTATCGAACACGCCTAAACTCTAAACCCCAAAATGCCAAAGTGTTTCTATTGATAATGTATGTGCATAATAGGATTCATTAGTTTTTTTTCATTGAGCATATGAATAAATATAAATATGATACACGGAGTACGTATCATGTGAATGTCCTTATACATATGATTCCTATTGGGCTAGATTTGGCATTGGGCCGTGACATCTCTGTCTAGAGAATGTTTTATTGGGTCGTACATGACTTTGGCATGCATGGATTTTAGACATGTAAAAATCTCTTCGTGCACATTTTGTGTAACACGTCTATTTTGTACACCTCTATAACTCTATTTTGGATTTTTGCACATTCTGTCTAGAGAAAGTTTTATTGGATTTTTTTACACAAGCAATTCGTCTAAAAATGCAAAAAACTTGAGATCTACCTATAACCTATGTACACAAACATGTGTGTGAAACATTACAAAAAATGTGTGCACCAACCAAAACCCTTTCAAACATAGCTATGAAGTTATGAATGTCGGGTGTGAGTTGATTAGAGGTTAATGTATGGGAGTAATGAAATAATTGAGTGGTTACCACGGGGGACATGCTTTTTGACATTTAAAAGAGTTACATCTATGCGTCCACCTTCAGCACACTAAATTCCACGACTGACTGTCGCATTAGAATACAACTTTAAGTCAACAAAATCATTCTCGTAGAGGCTTAGAGTAGTTCATTAACTAATGGTCTATAAAGTATAAAGCAAAGGAAAACCTAGCGCCAAGGAAGAAGCTGCAACTAGAGAATTTCTAGAGCAAAGAAACTAACATTGAAAATATATGGTTCGTCGAAATGAAAAAAAAAATACTTACTAGTATAGAATATAATTAGATGGTAATGTATAATGGCGTAAGACTTTAGCAAGAATTAGACTACCATCAAAAGTAAGTAGGCGTATTAATTACCATCTTGCATATTCATGAATTGAAATTGACACTATTCATAAATGATTCTCACACTTTTAGCCCACTTTTCAATCATTCCAGACTGCACAGATCATGGTATGCCAAGATAACTAAGCACCTATAGATGAGGTTCCTTTACCTTCCTCAACGAATATACCTATTGTCTTGAACCAGCGCATGAGATTCCGGTGGTCCTTAACATATAGCCAAGCTTGCAGGAACGGGAATAAGCTCTCGCTGATTCCACGCTCCTCAATGTAGGCGTGGAGGGCATCTCTAGTTCTTTCTTCTACATCTCTGCAAATGCCCAAACGAAAATCTATGAGAACCACACAACAAAAGAGGTAGGAAAGCTTTTGCAACAGTGACGATGCAAGAATAACTGCAGGTTGGGATTTGAAATACTTGAGATCACCAAAACATTGACTTTACATGGCATTGACTTGAAAATTCCACTTTTGATCCCACAACTATTAGAATATATCCATTTGTGGTAGCGGGCTTTAGTTTTTTGCACTTTTGGTGCATGACTATGAGCTTATGTCTACTTTCATCCAGATCACTTATCAACATGTAATTCTACAAATTGATCAGATAAGCACTCACATGGATAAAAAATAGCAAAAATCCATAATCGTACACCAAAAGTGGACATAATGAAAATGGAGGATTAAAAGTGAAAATGACCTAACAGTCGTAAACATAAAATGAAATGTCTTCTCGAGGATAAAGATAGGCATCTTATCAAGACATGTTCACTACAAAATAGTCCATGTTACGCTGGGCAGGCAGATTTGCGCGGAGCATTTGGGGAGGATTATCCTGGGACTAAAGCGGGGATTTATAGACCAGACGATAAAAAATGGAATACAAAGAGCGATAATTCGTGAAGAACAGTTCCTAGTGTCGGATGTTTGAGATTTATTAGAATATAGGGTTTTACTATGTAACTTTTAATGGGGAAACTCGATCTGAAAGCTTCTCTAATCTCTAAAAGAGTGACAATTTGAAAAGAACAATTCCTAGAATACTCACTTATACTCCATTTGATGGAATGGTACTACACATAACTGAAAGAAACAAGAAAAATTATGGGGCTTATAGATTTCATGGTGATAGGAATCAGCCTATTAATAGAAATAATAATAATAATAATAATAATAATAATAATAATAATAATAATAATAATAATAATAATAATAATATTAGTAATAAGGGTATATGTAGTATTATAGTATAAATAGATGGAAAGGGGGAGTTAGTAAGGAGGCTTTTAGACATTTGTCTTTGGGACTTGGGAAGATCGAGAGTATCTCTTTCTTTTGGGGGCTTCGGCCAGAACTCTTCTTCATCAATAAAGTTTACAGTTCTTGTTCTTGATATTTCTTGATAATTTTCTGTAAATCCTCTCAATACCTAGATAGCTCTAATAGTGGTATCAGAGCACGTTGATCGCTGGATGAGATATACGCATGATAAAATGGAAGGGCGTATGTCAGTTGTAGAAAGAAAACTGAAGGAGGCGGCAGCTAGACAAGATGAGATGACGAGAAGGCAAGAGGATATGGCGACGAAGATGGTCGCTATTCAAGCTAGCATCGCGGACATACAAAACAGACTTCACAGTCGTTCGAAGAGTCGATTGCATCATTCGAATTCTTCGCACCGTACTTCGCACCATGGACACACAAGAAATTCCGATCACGGAGAGCATGGCAACAGCGCACTTCGAGCGAGGAACCCTAGACATCATTCGTCGCAGTCGCTCACAAATTCGCAGTCGAAGTCGCGAACTACTTCTCTTGGCTCGCAATCGCGAACATCTTCTCCCTGTTCACAGTCGCGAACAATTTATCTCCCATCACAGATTGAATCAACGGCTAATAATTCACGACCAAGAAAGACGTCATTGAGAGGAGAATCGTCATCTTCATCAGTCGATTCTCATTGTCCACCATTTTTGCCGCAAACGGCTTCTCTCAGTCTTTGGCAGGATTCTTCTCGAATACTTTTTTCCAGTTCACAAGCTTCATCTGGAGTAGATGTTTCCAGTATTCAGACTTTATCGAGAGCCTATTCTTCATCGCCCAGGGCAGAGAAGTTCATTGAGGGCGAAGATGAAAGCGAGAAGAATGCGTCAGTGACCGATGGACCTGAAGCTGGAGAAATTGATCGAGTTCTCGAAGGCGAACCTGTCAAGATTTTTCAGAATCTCATTCCGGGTCTCTTCACCAATGCAGTAACAAAAGTGGAAAAGGTCAGGGGGCTGTCAACACTCAACAGTTGGTATTATTGTTGTAGATGGAGATGTAGGTCGTAACATGCAGTCTCATATGGAAATTGCTAGTACAGAGATCAAGATTCTCTGGAAAAGAGATGAGCATTGGAAAAGGGGTAACATGGTTCACCAACTTACTAATAGAAGAATGATGGAAAAGTATGCCATGGATGCTGACAGTCAGGGCCAAGAAATTAGGAGTGAAGATGTTGTGTCATTCCGGGGTGCCTTAGCAAAACAAATGTGGCAGAATGATCCACACATTAATGCATCTAAAGGTTCAGTCTGCACTCACCCCATTGTTAAACCTAGGATGGCAGTTAAGAGGGACAGTTTGATACTTTATGCAAATTAGCTCTAACACATGGACAACTTTCATGTCTAGAAAAAGCGACAAAGGTAAAAACAAGTAAACCCATAAAGCCTAGAAGAACGCATGGGTATAACAGTTTTCCTTTAGTTTGGAACTGTGACTTAGGACAGTTCTAGAGCGTAAATGAAGATTAAGAAGTAATTATAAACAGCTTCTAGTGAAAAATAAGCATATCGGTCTGGAACTTACTCAAACGATGGACCACCATACTTATTTGAGGCTTCAAGAAACCCAGCATCATCCCTAGCTCTCAACGAGACTGAATGGATTCCCAAAGCATCAGGATAAAGGCCACACAGAAAATGCAGAGACTCCCTTTGACCAGGCTTAGATATGTCAACATGAAGAAACAGTTGATTCATGCCACCATCATCATCATTGGTGTCCCCTCCTCCGGGTATAATATTGGCCAAACGCATTACAGAGATAGAAATCTCCTCGTTTTCATATGTCCGTTTCAAAACAGGACCACTACCATCAAGTGCTCCCTTCACCACTGTGAATGGAGAAGGAGGACTAATTTTCTGTCAACCATGATGTGGAGTCGGTCATCAAGTTATGTTGAAAGTCATTAATATTTAAAAGAAAACAAAAAATCCATAAATGCTTCTGCATAAACCCGCAATTGAATAGTTATTAGCACTTTATGCAGAATTGCAGATCAAGAAAGACCTCATTGAACGTAATGCTGCATGAATTTGGATTCAACTAGGAGTTGTGGGACTGCACAAAAGTAATTCTATCTTCTTTAGTGGGAGGAACATAGGGTGAATATTTGCTATAAAATTTAATTTACATGTAAGTGGGTTAGTGGGGAGTATTGGAAATACAACTCTCACATATTTCAGATAAACTACATAACTTTGAATAACACATACATAGAAGAATAATATATGTTCTCATGTATATTAACTGCCTAGGTAGGTAACTGAACTGCTGGAAAAGCATACATAGTACTCGGGTATATTGTAACACACTTCGAATGCCAGACGTAACCTCTTAGCTAGCAGCTATAGCAAAAATTCATACTTTGAACAGCAACAAAAAACTGTGATAGTAGCACTAACCCAAATCATCAACATCACAATAAACACATGAATCCAAAAGCAATTACTGCAATTCTCTTGATCCAAACTAAATTGAAATTGACATAAAACTTGTAGTATCAAATTTTAAATGAAGCCCACTAAACCCCTCTTAAACCTCAACCCTATGCTTAAATTAGCAAAGCCGCAGGAGAACCGTTCTTATTCATGTAAAAATACTACCCTAGCTTCACAAATCTCAAATGGATGCATTATGAACTGTGTTCCCTAGCATATCGTATAGGACGGGAGAGAGTTTTACCGGGGGAGGGGTCATTTTGGAGACTTCGAGATAGTGGTCTTTGAGGGAGCGGAGAATAACTCTGTTTACAGTGGATATAGCGGCGGCGACTTGAGAAGACCGTGATGTCGACGTTGAAAGTCGCACACCGGGCACGTTCCACGAATGCCGTTGCCAAAGCGCACCGGCGGCCCGTGTTAACGTTCGACACAACATATTCCGACGTATCCGGTGTTTAAACGTGCCCGGAGTTTGGGAAATAAACGAGCTCGGGCGACAACGGGTGAGGCTGTGGATATCAGTAATTTGTCCCAGATCAGACCAGATCAGACCAGACCAGATCAGACCAGACCGGACCAGATCAGACCAGACCAGATTTGGATAGTTATAAGAATACAAAGAAACCAGACCAGTTCAGACCAGACCAGACCAGACCAGACAAGATCAGACCAGATCAGCTTTGACCAACAAGATAGGGTCATTAGATTTTACTCCGTATAAATTAGCTTCTAAGCCATAATCCCTTTCGATATTACTATTGTATCACTCTTGTTCTCCACCCATACCAAAACTTCAAAGAGAAAAGATATTGCAGCTGCTCACCAAACTCATGGCCACATCAATATCAAATATTCTCTAGTAATATCTCTATACTTCTACTCAAACAAGCAATGTCAATTCTATTACTCATGTACTTATGAATTCAAATTCGTATATCTAAAAAATTATTATGTATATTTTAAACGGTTGAAGAATGTCGTGGTGTATATGTTAAATTACTCTTTATATTGTGAAATATTTAAAACACATCTCTATCTTCATCCATTTCACGAACGTATAAAGCATACATTTAACCGTATTTTATATAATTGTATCGTATTATACACGAATGTACATATAATTGTTTTGTACACGAACCGTATAATACTAATAAAAGAACAGGGGTATAAATACATCTAAAAAAAGAGTATAAAGTAAAAAACATTCGTGTAAAAAGGTGCTTAAAGAGGTTGCCTTTTTAAGAATTAGTCACCACAACAAACCCTAGCAAGCAACGTGATGGCTTTAGGGATGGACCGGGCCCGGGCCGGGATTGGGAGGGATTGGGATTTTGGGCTAAAGGCCCGATACCGGCCCGGGTTTGGATCGGGACCGGGTCGGGTCAGGTCAATTTTTTTTAAATAGCCTTTTCGAATCTTTTCCTACCCCCACCCCCAAACCCTGCCAAAACACCCAGCCCACCCCACCTAGCAGCAGTCCACTAAAATCCCAGCCCGTATCCCGCCCCATAAGAAGGCGATTCGGCCCCCCAATCCTGCCTGACCGGACCGGGTTGGGCCGGATCCCGGGTCGGGCCTACACAGTACCACGTCGGGCCGGGTCCTGGGTCGGGCCGACCCATCCCAGTCCATCCCTAGATGGCTTTAACGACCTAGGGTTTGAAAAAACAAAGGGAGAGTCAGAAAATATGTAAAGTATAGACCGGTTAAGAAATCTGGTAGAGTTACAATAAGCTTGAGAACCAGAAATATGATCACATCCCACAATTTGAAAAGCGATATTTATAGTGAACACGGAAATACTTGGTGAACAAGTAAAATAATCGCTCCTTTAATTTATTGACTCGTGTAAAGCTAATTAAAGAGATAAAATCTAATTGGTTGGTATCGTTGTACCGTCTTTTGTCCATGCGTACTAGACTGACTCGATAAGCTACATATTTAAGCCTGGCAGCTGGCAGGTTTAACAGAATTTCTGCTTCGTTTGTTTCCTTTGTCATCAATACTTTATCTCATCAGTTTGCGATGAAGGATTTAGGAGATATCCATTATTTTTTAGGTATTCAGGCTAAACGTACACCTAAAGGTCTATTCTTGTCACAGGCCAAATATATATCTGATCTCTTACGTCGTTTTGATCTTCATACTGTCAAGCCTGTTCGTACCCCTACCTTCGCGCACTACACTCTCTCACACAGATGGGGAACTGTTATATGATGTTACTGAGTACCGCAGTATGGTAGGTGTTCTTCAGTATCTAACTATTACTAGACCTGATATTACTTATGATGTGTGGCCTTGTGTCTCAGTTTATGCATGCTTCACGTACTACTCACCTTTTGGCAGTTAAGCGAATTTACAGGTATCTGCAGGGTACGAGCTGATAAAAATATTTCCATTGTTACGGCTTACTCTGACGCAGATTGGGCAGGTTGCCCAGACAGCTCGCGTTCGACTACAGGGGATGTGGTTTTCCTGGGCTCCAATTTAATCTCATGGCGATCCAAGAAACAACCAACGGTGTCCAAGTCTTCTACTGAGGCCGAGTACAGGCAGGGGCGGATCCATAAACTTTTGTTATTGGGGGACACTCCTAAAGATAGAGTAAGAACAAAATTACTCATATAATCACAAATTAACTTCAAAATTATTTGAAGTTTTCTAGTAATAGAAAAATAAAAAATATTATTCCCTCTAACCCACCACAATAAGATTCGCGTATTGATTCACGAATAAAGTTAACGAATTCCTGTTAATAATATGATTATTTTTAGTAAATAAAGTATACACATTCAAAAACTTCATTAAAAGTTTTCCTGGGGATGTGGTTTTCCTGGGCTCCAATTTAATCTCATGGCGATCCAAGAAACAACCAACGGTGTCCAAGTCTTCTACTGAGGCCGAGTACAGGCAGGGGCGGATCCATAAACTTTTGTTATTGGGGGGCACTCCTAAAGATAGAGTAAGAACAAAATTACTCATATAATCACAAATTAACTTCAAAATTATTTGAAGTTTTCTAGTAATAGCAAAATAAAAAATATTATTCCCTCTAACCCACACACAATAAGATTCGCGTATTGATTCACGAATAAAGTTAACGAATTCCTGTTAATAATATGATTATTTTTAGTAAATAAAGTATACACATTCAAAAACTTCATTAAAAGTTGGGAAAATTGCACTTTTAGTTCCTAAAATGGTCACCATATTGAAATGTCATACCCGTATTTCGGAGATTGTAAATGTCATTCCTCAATTGTCTAAATGTGGTCTTTTGATGGGTGAATATACTCCTCGCCCACAATGTACATTTCAAGTGTCAAAGGACTACATTTATAGCAATTTGGACAATCGAGAGGTGACATTTACAAACTCGGGAACACAGGTATGACATTTCAATATTGTGATTATTTCAGGGACTAAAGTGCGATTTTCCCTTAAAAGTTTTATAAAATCGCAAAATAAAATTCGAATTTGACAAATGTTGCGAGGGTAAGCCATGAATAGACTTAACCTTGTTCCTTTTGTAGCCGTTAGTTTGGATTTGCCAAGTATAGAGTTGTTGACGAGGCTGAGGCTAACAAGATGTCTTGCTCTTTTTTAAGTGTTTGTACACTGGCATAAATTTGTGAAGTGTAGCATGCTTTTACGAGGTTGAGGCTGGAAAGTGGCCTTTTCCGGGATATGTTCAAAACGCAAAGGTGCTCCAAGAAAAAATATGCAAAATGGATCACTTGAAAAGGGAAGCAAGAAACAAAAGGTTGGTAAGTATTTTCCAAACACTAGTTATCCGTGCACATACAATTAAGATCCCGTTTGGTAGCACCAAAATTGGCTGTTTTGACTGATTCTGCTGATTTTAAGAAAAAATTATGTTTAAAATATATTTATTAATAAAATAAAAAAAATTATATGTAAAAATAGTTAAAATGGTCATCTACAGTAACTTCAGCCAATACAGCCAGAAAAGTAATTCCAACCTTACTTTTTCCGCTTATTACACAATTCAGTACGGTCGAAAGTAAAAGTTACGTGTTTGGTGAAAAAGTTGGCTAATAAGCCGAAAAACTGTGTTGCCAAACAGCCTCTAAGTAGGCCTGTTCGCCTGTAGGGGTGGGCAAAATGGTTTGATTTAACCGAACCGAAGTGAACCGAAAATTGGTGGTTTGGTTTGGTATTTTGGTTTGATTTGGGTTTATTTAAGTAAACCGTTTGGTAACAATTTTGCTCAAACCGAATGGTTTGGTTTAAAACGTTAAACTCGTCAAACGGAATCCTATCACACCCAAAAATGAATAATCGAAAAGCTCCTTCTCCTAGTTAATTAGATACATTAAGAGAAACACGACCTTATTCCAGTACTTTTATCTTCCCTAATTTCTGTCTTTGGCAAATACTCAGTGACAGTTAAGACACAAAGTTTTTAGCTTCAAGTTAAACACACCCTCATGTGGCCATCATCATCATCATCATCATTATTTATTACTCCGTACAAAATATGCATTAAAAAGAAAGTGTAAAGTTTTCTGTAAAGAACTTTGATGAGGATACGGGCCCAATGGGCTGTCATAATAAGCGGGCCCGACGAAGCAGTACACGACTCCAGGACTACGTGACTTATTGAAGCTTCCTGATCATTGGCAATATTTATTTACTTCATGTTTATTTAATTATTTATTTATTTACATTACAGCATTATTTTGGTAGATGAGATTTGTATTAGAATTAGTATTTCTCTTATTTGTTCTTGTTGCTTAAGGAATAGTCTGCTGGCAAGATTCTTGGAGTATTAATACTCTGTTTTGCTGAATAAAACGGGAGGGTTTATTTTTGCTTAATAGCTTGGTCTTTCTATCACCTTGAGATAGAGAATTGGTCTCCTTTACACCGTGAGTAAAAGCTCGTTCTTTATTATTTACATCAATTGGTATCAGAGCCTTCCATCTTGGCAGTGCCTAGCAAGCATGACTAACCGGGAGCGCCTTGAACAATTGGAAAACTCCATCGCCCAGATCAGTGCATCTCTCAATACCTTATCCATTAACATGGAATCATTGAAGAAAAAAAGAAGTTCTGGGAGTAGACGGTCATCAACATCGACATCAACTAACCGATCCAAATCGCCAAAAAGGACCAGACGGAAGAAACGGCGACAGGAAACCACCTCATCCTCATCGTCTTCTTCCTCCACGGGTTCGACTGAAGGAAGCGACTCTTCAAGCAGCACCTCTAGCAAGCCCGATTCCACTACCAGAGAAGATGACCGCAGGGGACCCCGACCGGGTGAGTTACGAGACCGCCTAAAGATTGATTTTCCAAAATTCTCCCGTGATAATTTGATCGTATGTCTGGATAGGGTGCGACAATATTTTTCTGTCAAAAGTATTCAAGGTTCAAAAAAGGTCTTATTAGCTTCTTTTCATCTTGAGGGGGAAGCAAATCAGTGGTGGCAATGGTTCTCTAATGGCCGAAACCACAAGGAGATATCCTGGAAA